GCACACATACAGTTATATGATTCCTATCCCACCATAGGATAATGAGGACTGGCCTCAGATTGCACAACTCTGTTATACAAGTATGTTGCTGTCTTGCCAATTTGTTTCATGCAGGTGTCACATTCCATGATGTCAAATTTTTGGAATGTGATAGACTCAAGGCTGATTAGAACTGGCTGTGTTTGGTTACTGATTGATTCATTAGATTAAGTCAAGCTTGTCCCTAACCAAATTCAGTGTATGTGCTGAGAATCTGAACAGTGAAAATTTGCTAAACAGAGATAAAACCAATATTAGAATAGGGATTCTGCTATAATCTACATATGCCAGAGTGACCAAGCAATAGGTAAGACATTCCACATCTCCATTCTTGCTATTAAAAAAAAATACCGTCTTTGTGATAGTTTTAAAATGTCAATGAAATCTTTATGCCAGGAATATCATGTACAGACTCGAATTTTAACTGATTCATAATATTTTCTGAATAAAGCTAATTTTGATCCAAAGTTTGGTATGTGAATATCTGAGGCAGGCACACAGAGTCCTATGTTCTTCTAAAAGAGCTACCTTGTCCAACTGCTGTTCCCAACCCTGGAAGTATCCCAAGAAGGAGATGAAAATTCCAGCCAGTTACTTGAGCCTGCTAAGGTGTTGACCCGGATGCAGCACTCACACACTGCAGAAAAGCTAATTCTTTAGTGAGGTGTGTCCTGTACATGATGGGACAGCATTCCTGGACTGGTCCTATCACATGCCCACAGCACCCAGCACCAGGAGTGACAACCAAAAACATACCCAGGTGTCCCTTGGATGGCAAAGTCATCCCTGGTTGAGAACTACTTCCTTAGGGGTCACTAGAGCTAAGTTGATCTTGTTGTAACCTCCCCAACTGCCTCATCTTCCCTTTGCTCCCACCAAGTGCTGTACACTCCTCCCCCAGCTTTTCACCAGCCCATCTCCAACCTCACCTGTATCATAGGAATTTGTGATCAACAAGACCCTCATAATCTCTTCATGGAATTTTCCTCACAAGGTCTCATATATCCCAAGCTGTCCTCAAATTTGCTATGTAGCTGATGATGACCTTGAACCCTCAACCTCCCGGTCTACTATTTGAGTGTCAGGACTATAGGTATCTACCACCATATCTGGCTTATGTGATGCGTGTGATCAAGCCCAGGGTTTGTGCATGCTACGCAAGCTGTCTACCATCTGAGCCACACCACAACTCCCTTTTACTTTTTTGTTGTAATCCCAACTGTATGATCCCCACAGTCTTCTCAAATGGCATGGTGGGTTTCCCTCTCCTTCCTCACATATTCCTCATTGGCAATTTCATCCCATTTTCCCTCCATTTCTCTAAAAATATCTGACCCCTGAGAACAGTAGTTGGTCAAATACAACCAGTGAGCTCAATCTGGCCTAGAATCTGTTTTGGAGAGCCTGAGCATTAGTATATATTTTACATTTTTAACAGTTGGAAAACACCAGGAGATTAGTATTCCATGACATATAAAATTTACATGACAGACAGCCATCACTGCCCTTTCGTGCACGTGGCATAAGCCTATACCTTCCATTCCCCAGCCAGCTGTCACTGTGCACAATTCGCCAGGTCACTCTTCCATGTCCTTAAAATACACACATGACTGAGAGCTAGATGGTACCATGCAAGCATCAGTTGACTTAGTGAAGTTCGAAATTACCTCTGGAGAGTGGAATGTGTGTGCAACTCAACAGGATGGAATTTGGAGTTGCACATTAGGTCCTGGGCAGTGTTTCATACCAGAAACACTGGAGGACAGAAGAGAAGGAGATACATTGTGTGTTGAGAACAAGCACCTGGCTGAACAGGGGCATGTTTAGGGAGGCAAATTAAGGTCAGAGACTATCCTAAGAAGCAGGAAATACAGGGTAGAATGGGTTGCTCATGGAAGTAAGACCCCCAGCCTGTATGCGCACTCCACTGGGTTCCTGCGTTAGGCTAGACAAACTTCAAGGACATTTTAGTCCTAGGAATGGTAACAATATGAGTCCAAAACACTACTGGAGTTTGGGGCATTTTGTTCATTTTTGCTAATTAGATGGCCCCAAATAATTTTCTCAGAAGTAAATAAAAATGCTCAAATTTTTCTTCTTATAATCAAATCTGTAAAAAATAAGTACAGAGATAAAATTCTTTATGGTACACATATCACATAAGACATTTTTAGGTGACAGGCGAAGAATACATTCTACCTTATTTGGCCAATGGCCAGTGTAGAAGTCATGACACGGTAATGTGGGTTCACGGTCACATTAACACTACTAAAATGATAGCAATAATCTGGCAGGCTTATGTCTGTAAGGAAGCTTGATGTGGTGTCCTTTTCAACTCTTCTTGAATTTGTATATTTACCTCAGTAAAGATGATGCCCATATGGTATGCCGACCAATTCTCCTTCCTAAAAAGCCTGACGTATAAGTCTTGTTCAATGAATATGTTTAGGAGTGGGTAGGTGGGAAGTAGCTTTGAATACTGAGAGTCCAGATTTGAGTTTAATTCATGGCTCAGCCCATCCCTTGCTCCTGATATCCACTGCAAAGCCCATCATACCTGCTGTCTGCCATTTATCCTAGCTTCCTGCTCAAGAGGGTCTTAATGAGAACTAAGCTCAAAGGATATGAGCAAAGAGTTCCACACACATTTCCAACAACGTGGATTCCTTTCTGACCTCTCACATTTCTCCCGTCTTTTCCAGAGTGTTGGGATCACTGGTGTCACAGAAGGGTAAAATCCAGCCTCTGAGTCCTCCTGTGTGACATTTGCAGAAACCTCACTAAAGAAACCTCACTAAAGAGCAGCAAGTATGTCCAGGGAGTTCACAGGCATTGCTTCCCGGGCCTCCGAGGGGTGGGACCTAGCAGCTGCTTGATTCTGAAGTACTATTTTAGGTCACAATGTTGAGCAGGTGACACTGCTCAGGTACACGGGGACCATTTCCCATTGTCTTTCTTGCCTTTCTTCCCCCATCGCAGTCTTGTCTTAATGGAAACTGCACCATCACCATGACACCCCAGACCCTCCAACAGGCTTTATGGACAGTTATTCCAAAGTTACAGGGCCGAACAATGCCTTCTCTTTTCAGAGTTACATTCATTTACTTATTTTTGCAGTACTAAGAATCAAACTCAGGGCCTCACATGTGCCAGGCAAGCACTCCACGCTGAGCTACACCCCAGCTCTCTTTAGTGTTTTCGATCTCTACAAACTGGAAGGTACTTTCCCCAAATGCTACGAAATTTACATTAAAGCAATAGCTTTAGCACAATGAAAAAATGCACAGTATTTGTAGAGAACAAAGCAAGCGTTGTCTAGAGCAGTGTGTCTATATCTTCTACCCACCCCCGATTCAATTCCTACTGAGCCCAGAACTTGGGCATAGTGAACTGTTCTCAGAACAGTCTCCTGAACTGCCGTCATCCTTGCCAATATATTAGAAGATGCTGTCACACAAGCGCACAGCGTAAGGACCTTTGAGAAGCAGAAGAGGAGTAAAGAAGCCAGAAACAAACACAACATGAACCAGACAGAGTGGAGAACCAGCAAGGCCAACAAGGCTCACCGCACCCCTGCCTTCAGCATCTCCACTGGTTTTTAGAAAGTTTTCAGTTACTGTGTACACGGCTTTCCTCAACCTCCTCTGTGTCAATTCCTCAAACTGCCAGCTAGGGGCAGTGTTGGGAGAGTGCTTCCAGTGCGCTGTGGGTCAGCCCTTGAGTTTCTTCAAGATCCTGGGTCACAATGCTTACAGTAAATCTTCCCAACTTTAATCTATTCAGAAGCTTGGGGCTTTCACTAGAGTAGAGCTGGTCACACAAACTCAGAAACAGGACCTCTGGGGCCATGACATAGAAAGGGACCGTGCATGCTGCACATGACTCTCAAACCAGGACCCCTCCTGCTTCCTGGTTAACAGGCACATGAGCACCAGACTGCTTGAACTACATCTTGATGATGGAGATGGTGGGTTATTATCTCTGAGATGGGGGCTGAGGGAGGGGACCCACATACTCTTGACGACTGAGTTTCAAAAGGCGGTCTGATGTATTCGGAGTTATTTTCTCCTTCACCATGCACCCAGGTAAGCTAAATTTGACTCCCAGAAATATTTTCAGGATGAGAGAGAATGATGGAGCCCTTGGTACTGACATGAGCATGGCTTGCATCCTACCTCAGTGCCATGAATGGGGTGGTCAACCTCTGTGACCCATTATTCCAGCAACTAGGCAGCATCCACCTGGAGCAGCTATCTCAGGGTCTGAGAAGCCCAGCCATCCTTCTATTACACCTGATTTTCCCAGTCATTCCAGGCTACCACAGGTTTAGTCAAACTTCCGTTCTTGAACCTATATAATTTCTCTTAGGTCTATGAGTCCCTCTGTTTCTTTCTAGCTACCTCATTCTCTTTCCCTGGTTTAGATGTGAGGTTTACAAAGATAAAGATCATATTTTTGTTGTGTACGTGTGTGTGTGTGTGTGTGTACCTTTGAATGGTCCTGACCTATAATGGACACGCAATAAAAACGTTTACTGAGTGACTAAATGATGAAATGAGTATGTGCTGCACACAAAGAGATGTCTTTACATTTACATATGTATATTCACATATCTACAGCCAATCTGTGTAAGGCTACATTATCTCAAGGGCCATCCAGTCTTGCGTTTCTATGTGACACACCATTTATTTCTAGGCCATGGTTTGTATTTTGGATTTTTTGCCATTTTATAAAATCCTAAATGAGTTTGGCAAGGTCAAGCCTATGCTTGCCATCAGGAGGAGCTTGAGTGGGAAGTTCCCTGAGAGAGGTATGGTTTCATGGTAGAGGAGAGGCAGGACACAAAGCCAGGGGCCCCTAACCATCTTTCAGGGAGGGAAATCATGGTCAGTACACGTGACCTGCCGCCTTTCTTCCTCTTTCCAGTGGAATTCCCTCCCGGTCACTGGAGTCGAGCTTACTTTTCACAGAGATCTCGAACTTGGCTGGGTTTGAAGGCGGGAACCGACTGGGAGCAGGGGCTGGTGGGAGCTGACAGTGGGCTCTTGATATTCTGGATGGAGTGTCTCCGGCTCCTTCTTCGGTCAAGGCCCTGGTGCTCACCCACACTGCCACCAGAACACATGCTGGCCCTCCTCCGGTCCCGGTGCCCACTGGGGGGTGGCTCAGCTGTCTCATCACCATCTTCATGCCTGAGTGCCACCTGAAAAAGCAGAGTGTATCAGGCAAATCAAACTTGATAGCATTTCTCAGGCTTGGATTGTGACTATATGTCACCTCTAAGTGGATTTAAAACTGCTTTGTTGTTGTTGTTGTATTGCAGGGCACTACTCAATCTCAAAGTGACCCCTATATGTGTCTAGAAGTCAAATTCAATCTGTGATTACAAAGTGCCTGTCACTATGCATTCTATGGATCAAACAGATACAGAAGAGACAACTAAGTATGAAAATATTATGAAATTATCTGAAATCTAAATGTTTTAGTCAGATTTTATCACTGTGACAAGATGTCTGAGAAAGTCAACTTTGAAAGGAAAGATTCATTTTGGCTCCTGGTGTTGGATGGTTTGAGTGTGGTTAGGTCTATGGAAAGGCAATGACATCACAGTGGAAGACCATGGCGGAAGAGAGCCAAACACCCACGCCATGTCTTTCAGGAAGCAGAGAGCCAAGCTGTTCACTCCATGGCAGCCAGGAAGCAGAGAGTGTCACAGAGGAGATATTCTCCTGAAAGACCTCCCCCATGGCCTACGTCTTCCACCTAGACTCTGAACCCTAGTTTCTACCACCACTTAACATGTCAGCAAATTATGTCTCCATCAGCGGCTTAAATCATCCACCATGTTAAAGACCAAATCACGTCTTAGTAAGTGGATCCACATGAACCTAAGGGAGACACTGCCTATGAAAATCATAGCACTAGAGTGGACCTCACACCACATGTCCACGTGCCTTGACCTTCATCATTCCCTGCCCTCCCATGGCTCTTCTCCATTCCAGGAGGCAGAAGCTTTCCTGAGGTCACCTGGGTTCCACATGCGATCATTCCTGAGCTGCCTTCCCCAAACAGGGTGCTTAGAGGAAGAAAGAAGAGGTGAGGGTCACGAGATCTAGAAGAACAGGTTGGTTCCCGTTAGTCTTTCTGAGAGGCTTTCTACAGCAGTATGCGCTGTGTGATTCCAGCGGCCCACCTGACAGTTATACTCTCAGACCACCTTCAGGGCCTGGGGTGTAGCCTGCACATGCTGCAACAAAGATGCAAAGATCTGTGACAGAAAGACATTTTGAAAATATCCTCACCCAAGAGGCAGAGGCAGGTGGGTCTCTGAGTTTGAAGCCAGTCTGGCCAACATAGTGAGTTCTAGGACAGTGAGGGCTGCAGAGAGACCCTGTCTCCAAACACACACACACACACACACACACACACACACAGAGAGAGAGAGAGAGAGAGAGAGAGAGAGAGAGAGAGAGAGAGAGAGAGAGAGAGATCTAGGACTGGTGAGTGAAGGAACCTGGCATTCTCAGTGAAGACTAAGGATTTGAGTTCAAAAGCCTAGGGAGCCATATACAAAGCATCCTACAAATTTTTGGAATAAAAATTTCCTCTTAAAAACCGATCCATATTTATACAGAGAATTGACTAACACTTTTTGCCATTTTGGGTTTTAGAGGGGAAACAGGGGCCAATTGGCACCATACCCAAAGGCTGTTTTATGCAGGTCTGTGTGGTTCCTCGGGCAGAGGCCTTGCATATCCAGCTCTGATCATGCTCCACACTAAGTGATGCTCTAAGGATTTCCAGCTCTGGTATCCTTTGCGGTCTGTCCCAGTGTACACTTACCTCGGCTCACTCTGGTGGCAAGCTCTGCTCCTCGGCCTCTCTCACTGTTCTCCACCATGGGCTTTGCTCATCTGCATTTTATATCATGGTCTAGTTTGGTTTTCATGTGAACTGTCTGTAAACCTAGACAGCAAGAGCATTTCCTTTGGGGCTTAGCAGACCTTTGTGTGCACATCAGTTGTGCCTCTAATGAACTAGCTGTGACCTGTAGCAAATCACACACTCTCTGGTCCCTTCTTGAGAATAGCTGTATTTGGGAGGATATCAAGATATCAAAGGAGGGAAGCTTCTCTGTGGATGGTACTCAAGCAGTGATGTCCTCCTCTGACCCAAGCACAGAGGAAGATGTCAGAAATTTCCCAAACTCTTCTATCACACAGAACCACCAGGTAGACAACATTCAGTCCAGCTGGACCAGGCTCGACTATACCCCACAGCCTGTTAGACTAAGCAACTGTGGAGTCATGTGGTCCCATGCATCTCCAACTGTGTAGGTTTTCTTGTTTTGAAGATGTCTATAATTTAACCCTGCTCAGTGAGAGAATGGAGAAATAAGAGAGATCGAGAGCTGAGAATGTTCTGTGTTCCCCAGGACAGGAAAGCTGGCTTCCACAGGAGTGATCACCTGACATTTTCACAGCTCCTGACAGGAAGAACAGTACCCAAGACACACAGCTGATGAACAACATGTCATCTACCTCCACCCTTCACGCCTTACTTCCCCCAGCCCCAGCATTTAGATCAGATGGATTCAGTGTGACCTATCTAAGTTATAGACATATTTTATAATGAGTGCTCAGATATATGAAAATAATTTGAAAATCTTTTGTTCATTTTATTTCCCTAGAATTCATCCCCAAACACACTCTTAAAAGCTTGGGGCAAGAACTGATGAGTTCACCCACGGCTCATCTTTGTGCAATCTCACTGGAAATTCCTGTTCTCAAGCGTCCCGTCTGGAAGCACAAATATTAAAAGTGAAGTTCAGTGTTTGGCGAGTCACAACCATCACCTCAACTTTAAAACTCTAAGTGGTACCATGTGGGCAAGTTTGGGAAGGAGAACTCCTCACCAGCAGCAGCCCTTCTCAGTATTTCCAGTCTGGTTTTTCCCTCCATTTCTGACAGCACACTCTTAGGCCATTTGAACTTCCCCTGACCTGAAGTGTTGACTGTTTCTTATTAAGCACACATTTGCAGTGATATGAGTGGGTCCAAAGCACAGTTCAGATATTTCTAATTCCTTGTCTAACCTCAAAGGTCCAAGGATCAAGTGACATTCCACTCACAGTGCCTTCCCAAGAAACAGTGTGCAGAGAGTCACTTTCACTGCCCCATGTCAAGGAAAAGGGAGATTGACTAGAAAGTTCAAGTGAAGAGAAGAATCTGAGGCCATGATCTAGGCAACACTATGATGTATAATTCATTTGGGAATATCTCAAATTCAGATCCATGACCAAACACTTGTCAAAGTGGAGGAGAAACAGGAGGAGGAGGGGTGCAGCCAGGTGTGGTGGTACAGCCCGGCAGCTTGGGAGCTGAGGCAGGAGGATTCAGAGTGCAAGGGCAGCCTGGACTGTGTTAACAAGCCTCTGTAAATAAGAAGGGAGCTAGGGTGAATTATGCTGCAGTTAGTACAAGGCTGCTGATATCTTTGATTCTCTTGCTTTTAAGTAAATATCCAGAGGTGGGTGGTTTCACTGGGAATCTTTTCACAGCGTTTTAAGCCTCTTTTACTGTGGAAATTTCAGACACACACAATAGACAGGGATGAGCACAAACTGTGTAATATGTATGTCACCCACAGCAGTCTAACAGGTGTGAGTTCAGAGTCAACATTTGCTCATTTACGTCTCACTTTTTTGCCTTCAACCCCATGGCTAATTTTTCAATGAAATATCAAAGACTATATCATTATCATCTGTAAATACTTTAACATATACACCTAAAAAGATTGCTAAATCCATAACTACCCTATTATTGCCCTTAACACAATAACCTCTTAATATTATCAAATACTAATTTTTGGTGGGAGGGAACTCTGGGCCTGTGCATACTAAGCACATGCTCTACCAGTGAGCTACGCTGATGACTGTATAGTGTTAGGTCTCCGGTGACTTACACGCCATCCTGTGTCATCCCTTCCTGCCTCAAGACTAAGCTTAGTTGTGTAACTTGCTTTGAGCAATTGGAACATTTTTAATGGGGCTCAAAACCATTACCATTTCTCCAAGTTTTTATCATAATGTGACTGTGTTCCATGACGGGCAGCCGTCTTCGCAGCAGGTGTGACCCTTTTCCACACTGCTGTCTCACACCTACACAATTCAGTTTAGCTGTTACGTGAGGTGCATGTCAGTGTCACAGCATTTCAACAAGAGACTGTGTGATAGCAGGTTGTGGCCACGACATAGTGTTATGGATGCTCACGCTGCTTCATTAGTCTGTGTCATCCCCTCCCACACAGAGGCTAGGCTTGACCATGTGACTTGCTTTGGCCAATGGGCCATCAGTAAACATGACACCAACCCTGGAAGCATTCATGCTAGTCTTGCTTTTCACAAATGCTGCTATCCTGTGAAGAGGTGGGAGCTAGCTTGCTGATCACATGTGGCCTAGACAAGAGCCCAAATCAATCTGAAAGCCAGCTGATCAAACCTGAGTGGGACCTTTCAGGCCCAGTAAGGCCACCAGGCAGCCAAACCACCTGAAAATGTCTTAGCTGAGCCAGGCCAAATTCCTGATTCCAAGAACCAAGATCAGTGAGTATTGTTTAATACCAGTTGATCATGGTATGTTTGTTACACAGCAAAAGATAACTTATACATATTTTTAACCATCTATGAGATGGAAAGCTCTTATGGAAGGGGAACCATTTGTTAACAAGTTTTCAAAGTAACAGCTATTTACCAGCCAGAAGTCTCCAGTGGCAAAATGTCTTTCCCCTTACAAAAAGAACATTTTTAAAACAAAGTTAACACATATGATCTGACAAAAGATTTTTTATTTTGACCATTTATGTATTTGAAAAAAAATCACACGTGGCTAAACAATTTCAATGAATTTAATTAAATGTGGATCAAATCACCTTTCTGAAGTAGAATTGAATTACACGAAATGAGGCCTGTCCCGGAAAGCCTGAGACATGTGGCCACCAGACATCCTAGGAAGTACCCTAGAAGTCTACCCACACTTTCTGCAGGCACTTGAGAAATTCCAAGTCTTTTTGAGGAAAGTATTGGCTCTACATGTAGATTCTTCTTGCTCTCCTTGCATATATTTACAATTGGCTGCCTATGTCAGTAAATGTTTTCTAAAATGCATTAACTTTCAGATAGGAATGAGGATCCAGACTCTGTCTGCTACCTAAAGCATGTGATTGTCACCCTGAGTTACCACTTGGGCATCAGAATAAATCATACACTTCCCCAGCTTCATGCCTGGCAACACCGTCATACACATGCGTGATGCTCGCGGAAGGCAGTCATCCAAGCACTTAATGCACTCTAGGCAGCTGTGCTGGGCCCTGGCATTAGAGAGCGGCATGGGGCGTAGGACTTAGAGTAGCTCAAAGTGACAGACAGGGTTGTCACGAGAACTGCTGGACAGAGGCATGGAGACATTTGTTTATGAACAGTGGGAAACGGGGAGCAAGACTTCATGGAGGTGACACTTAGGGAGTTTGCCAGCTGAAGAATTGGGAAAAAGAACCCCACATAGGGTGGAGAAGAAGGTAAAGGAAGGCTCCTCAAATGACCCAATTTCCACATGCAAGAAACGGGGGAAGTTGAGTGTAACTGAACCACCAAAGGCATCAGTGGAGATTGGTGCCATGTACAAGCCTAACTTAGGCAGACTGTGAAATGGGGAATCAGCAATACCCACCACCGAGCAATCCTGGGAGCTTTGCTTCCATGTAAATCACATTTGTAGATGAACACAGAGAAGGGAGTTTTCTCATCCTTTCCAACCCTGCTACTTTCCCATATTAGCCAATCACTTATACTGAACGATAACACAGAACAATGTGGACAGACAGAGAAGCTCAGGATTCCTTTTACAGCCATCCCTTCATTGCTGACCAGGCAGATGAAGACAGAGTGTTGGTAGAATGCACACTTGTCCAGAAACAAAAGAAAAATGGGTAATTCTAATACGGTTTCCTCTGTCCTGATATGACTGACAATATTTGCAAACAGCAGATTCCAAATATGGGCCAGGAAAATTTGACAACTCTGCCTACAAAATACTGTCATATTTGTATTTTAAGTGATATCACATGGTATAAAGACAAGCAGTGGAGTTCAATGTTCAGTTTTGGTTTTTCTTTCCTAGTGACATACATACCCTAGCAAACATAAAAGCACTCTAATAAGGCAAGAGAAAACACAGAAGAAAGTACAATGTTGTGAGGCATCTCACTGTTTTTGTTCTAGGAATGGTGGCATGCACCTGTAACCCTAGCACTTGGGAGGCGAAGCCAGGAGGATTTGGTGTTGAACGTCACCCTTGGCCTCATGTGGAGTCTGAGGCTAGCCTGGGCTATGCGAGACTCTGTCTTTAAAATAGGGGATGAGGTTTTCCCAAGAATACCCATGAATTTCCACTTCACACTACACTTCATGCAGGGGAGTGCCCCCCTTGCTTTCTCTCCCTCCCTTTCCTTCCTCCTCTCTGACCCTGTCTCTATATACCTGATTTTTCCTTGAGTATAGATACTGACAACAAAGCACATATTCTTCAAAACAGAATAGCTCTGAGTTTCCTCTGTGTCGAAGGTTCTTAAGCTCGAGCACTTACTGGGGTCCCCTGGAACGCTTGTTGGGACAAGATTTCTGGCCCCACTCTTAGTTTCTGATTCAGGAAGCCTGGGTAGGATCCAAAAGCTTTCATTTCTAGAAAATTCTCATGGTGTGGAAGCCCCTGTACCACACTTAGAACCCTGCTCTGGAGGACAGGTGACATCACCCTTTGACCTTTGCTGATGCTATGGATGACTTAGAAAAGGCACATTCTGTTACCTCATAGATGTTAAACTGCTCCAGCAAGTCCAGGTCTGTCCCTTTCTTGTTCAAGTGCCTCTGGGCCACAGCGGCAATGCCCAGCTCCTCCAAGCAGTCCACCACGTCATAGAAAGTGTCTTGATCTGGCAGTCCTGCCAAGGTCTGCAAGAGAAGAACAGGAGACAGCCATATCTTAGGGGAATGTCACAAGGCAATGAAGACCTCGATTCTAACAACCCACAACAGGGCAAGACACATGACGAATTCATTCAATGAGGAAATCTCCTGAGAGGGAGCAGAGTGAACTCAGGACTCTTGTCATGGGGGGTACCGTGCAGCAGGAGCCCCTGCAACCAAATGGGGGCTGGGAACTCCTGTGGGTGAGTTGTTGCACTCATTGTTAGGCTAGCTAGGGGAAGGGATTTAGCAGGTGTCATCAAGGTTCCAAATCAGATAGTCCTGCATGGTAAGTGGGCAAACCCCTTAAGAGAGGGAGTTGGTCTTCCCTGAGCTCAGACTGGTTTGGAAGAAAGAGCAAGACACAATGAGCTGAGCAGCTGTGTGGAAAGGAGTCCAGCAGACAACCACAAAAGGCTGCCAGAGTCCATCCTGGCCAGCATCTTGACTTGGAAGACCCAGAGCAGACAACCCAGTAAGGACGTGTCTGGATGCTTGCCCCTTGGGAACTGTGAGATGATAAATATGCATTGCTCTAAGAGACCAAGCTTGTAGGATTTGCCACATGCCAGTGGAAATTTAATATGCTTCTAGATTTGAAATTCTGATTATAATCAATATATCAGTGTGAGTTTTAATTTAATGATTCTTTTCCGTTCTAACGCAGCAGAGCCTCTCTTTGCTCTATGAAACTTTGGGAAACATGAGACATTTCAAAGCAGCAACCAAGAGCCAAAAAGACAGCGAACTAATTAGGGACTAAAGAGAAGTTCCCAGGATTCCAGGCTGGAGACTGGGTGGAGACTGGGTGGGTGGCTCTGAGTGGGGCTTCACCCCAGTCTACAGTCATTTCTGGTCACCTGTGAAATTCCTCCTTTCCCTGAGCATCATCTCCCTCATATATGTAAGACGAGTGGCTTGCACTAACTCTCAAGGCTCCTTCTGTTCTGAGCAGGTCCCTGCTGAGAGCATCCTCCCTGTAGAAGAGGCAGAACTCAGAGAAAAACCTGCCCCCCTGTCTTTTTGAGCATCTCTGGGGGAGGAGCCATGTTTGGCGGGCTTTCTGAGATGAGTTTGAGTAGAGCCTGTGGCCCTCCAATGTTCACGTAGGCTGCAGTGGGACCGTGGCATTTCCCCCAGTGCAGGAAGGTCCCACATCCCAGACACCAAGTCACCTTTTCCAGGCTGCCGCTCTAATATGCTCAGCTACCTCCACCTCATTCCCACCTGGGCCTCTCCTGGTTCCCCTGCCAGGTTCAGTGCTAAGACACCTACAGCTGGCAAAGACCATGGCCTTGCCAGAAAGTCCTGAGGCATGAGCTTCCTGAGGCTGGGAACACCCCACAGCTGCCTTACATCTGGCATCCCTGACCTCTGTTTTCTTACAGGCTTTGTCTTGCCAAAATCTGTCACTAACATTTCGTTACTGGCGTTTAGTCAGAGACCAAACTCTGTCTTCAAAGAAATTCATCTCTCCTTGGGTTTTCAGAGGATAAACCTTCATACAGGATAAAGCCAGTGTGGTAAAAAAGCCCATGCTCCCACACTCCGCAGCGTCACCTGTGGAAGGCAAAAACTGTGACCTTCAACCCCCTCCACAGGCGAATGGATAACTTAGACACATGGGTGAATATACTGTGGTGCACCTGTGCAGCACAATCATATATACCCCCAAAGGGAGTGAGCTATTAACATACACACTAACACACCTGAGTGTGTTTTATACAGAGAGAGGGAAGCCAGCTTCAAAGGGTTACATACTACAAGAATCCATTTGACCCTGAAAAGACAAGACTATAGTACCTAGAAAATCAGTGGTTGCAAGGGTTATGGATTGGGGGCTAAGATGTCTATGAAAACACACTAGTGAGATTTTTAGGGGAAATGGAACCTATATGTATCCTAACTGTGAAGTCAATCCACCTCTCTGTGTGTGTTAAAACTCATACAGCCACATACCAGAAGGGAAAGAGCCATTTCAATGTTTAAAGCAATAAAATGAAATGTTTAAAAAGTCATCCACTTAGCCTGAATCTCACATGATTAACTATGCCCAGGCCCTAATGAAGCAATGACTCTTCCCAGAGCTCCCTGGGGTCCTTTTGCCACCTCCCCAATCCTCATCTTATTCTATGAGGTGACTAGTCTGAGGCCCTATTCCAGGCAAGAGCTCTACCCAGGAGGATTTCAGCTATGGCAGAAGAGGTGACAGTCTCATTTTGACATTTTCCTTCCCTCAATTCTTTTCAAGACACGTGTAGGGATGCAGAAAGGTAGAGGGTTTGCTTGATGTCTCTGGTAAACAACAACAGCAAAAAAAAAAAAAAAAAAGCCACTCTGGTCTCAGAATGCAAGGCAGACTAGGGTTTACTGCCTTTATCATGGAAATGTCAGTTTTTAAATTCATGTCATTATACCACCATTTATTTTGTCAAAATTGATTCTAGTTAGAAACCACCCAATTTGCAACAGAATTTCCCAGACTTTAGAATCTGGTGTTTTGTGTTTGTGTTTTTGTTTTTCCCAGACTCACATTAAGGGTTTATTTTGCTACTCTGTCTGGTAGCTTGGTGCATTTGACTCATTGGGGCCATAATCATGACTGCAATTCAGTAAAACAAAATGAACTCTGAGTGGCAGTGGTCTGTGGGCTTTTCCAGGAATGGTTGTGCCTGGACCGACCTCTCCCAGGACCTTCTCCATTTGTAAAGAGCAGGCACTGTCCTAGCTGGCTCTTCTGTTGCCGTGATAAAACACTGACCAAAAGCAACTTAGGGGTGGAAAGAACCTATTTGATTTACACTTCCAGGTCACAGCCCATCACTGAGGGAACCTGGGACAGGAACCCAGGCAGGAAATGAAGCAGAAACACAGAGGAATTATGCTTGCTAGCCTGTTCTCTGACTCTTGTTTGGCTGTCTTGGATCCACAGCCTAGGTTGTGGATCCAATTGCCTAGGGATGGTGCTGCCCACAGTGTGCTGGGCCCTCCCACCTCAATAATCAGTGGAGACAATTCCCTCACAGACATGGTCATAGGCCAGTTTGATCAAGGAAATTCTTCTTTTGAGGTTTTCTCTTTCCAGGCGACTCATCTTATGTCAAATTGACATAAAAACTAATCAGGATAGGCACAGATAAGGTATGTCAACAAGTATTCCTAGGGGAAAAAGCTGTGCCAGCATGGACTGACGGGTTTACTAGAACTGCAGTGATGTGGAGAGGCTGACATGCTGCAGGTCCAGAGGCTTATTACCTTTTCTTAGCGAGCTTTAGCCCCCCAAATAGCCACTCCTTGCCCGCCTCTTTTTCAGAAAGATAGATAGACTAATAGACAAAAACTGACTAGTAGGCAAAAACCCTTTGAAATCTATTAACTTAACAAACCCCTAGCTTCCACCAACTCAAAAGCCAAGACTGTCATGAGCCAGCATCTGAGGCCTGTAGAAAACCTTTCCCATCTTGCTGTAACCACCTTTCTGATGTACCTACCAATACATTGCAAACTTGCCTTGATTAATGAAAAACTATTAATGAAAAAGCCTCATGAAGCTGCTTCCACCTTGAACATGGAATTTGAATTACCCTCAGTCTCTGTTCCCAGGCCAGAGCCACTCAAATTTGGTTCTAGAATAAGCTCGTATCCCTTTAAGGTGGGAACTGTCTTGCTTGGGTAGACAGCAGAAGGGCCAGAAAAGAATGAGCAAGCGAGGAGTCTCTGGTTTGTGTCTCACCATGTCCAGCAGAGGGCGAGTGTCGACAACAGAGGGTGTGTGTCAGTGTGACAACAGAGTGCCCTCGCTCTGCTGCCACAGTGAGGAAAGTGGCCACAGTCTGCCAATGAGAAAGATCACAGCAGACAACACTGGTCAAGAGGGAATGCTCATTTCTACTGAGTTCAGAGTTCTACAGAGCAAGGTCAGTAACTGTAAAGGGCAGGAAAGAGCTAAGCTTCATCTTCAAAACCATGCTGCAAATCCCACGGCCAAGTAAGCTGATGAGCAGAATCAGAAATAAAGTAGAGTCCTTATGATTATCCATCCGAAATGTGGCTGTTTCCTGTCATGACCATATAAGAGTTGACTGTGCACTCACCAGCAAATGCCCAATTAATAAGTAAATACAGGGGTTGGAGAGATGCACACAATTAAGACCACCGGCTGCTCTTCTAGAGAACCCAGGTTCAATTCCCAGCACCCACATGGCTGCTCATGGACATCTGTAACTCCAGTTCCAGGGACCAACCTTTCTAGTCTCCATGGGCATCAGGCACACACATGCTGCACAGACAGACACGCAGACAAAACTCCCATATGCATATAAAAAAAATCTTAAGATGAAATAAATAGATGCAGGGGGCTGGAGAGATGGCCTCTGAAGGTACCTGCTCACACATGGTGCACACCTGTAATCTTAATACTCAGGAAGCAGAGACAGAGATCGGGCATCAGTGTGAGTTCAAGGCCAGCCTGCTCTGCACATTAAGTTCTAGCCAGAACTATATAGGGAGACATGGTTTGATTTTTTTTTCTTGTTTTTTTTTTTTTTTTTTAAAGCAGCAACAAGAAATATAACTGTCATGGTAGAGGTGAGGCTGTCCTAAAGGGGGACACTGTGTCCTTCCCTTTGGCTACCTGACAATGACCCCCAAGGAATTTTAGACTCTCCAGGAATCTCAAGCTTGAGGAAGAGCTGAGGCCCAGATGCTGTCAGAGGAGGAACTTGTCTCCTGTAGAGACTTCCCATGGTTACGGTCACTTGCAGGAGCCCAGACAATGGAGTGTCAGTGATGAGCAGGGCCACACCCTGACCAGGAATGCATGTCTCTCACCCCTGGTTTAAACTTTAAGTTCATGTCACTAGCCCAGAGTCAGCCACTGACCTCTTTATTGGCTCCTCTTCCCAATGTGGCCATATTAACTAAATTTCATCTCTCTGCTTTTCACAGACTTGACTCTTGAGGTGGTATTTTGAGGATGGGTGGCTGAGCCTCACTTGCTAGGGCTGCAGGGCCCAGGCTTAACCCTGGTGGCAGTCATGTAGCCTGGGAGAATGTCTTTATGCTTTACTGTGCATTTCTAGTATTCATGATTGACTTAAGGTCTTTTAAAAAAAAAAAAAACTTTATTAATATATTCAGGATATTGGGTTTTTTGGCCAATAGCTTCCTAGTTTGTCATTTGCCTATAGCTTTGAGATTTTCATTTTACAAACAAGACCCTTTATAATTTTATTCAGTAACATATTTAAATATTCATTTAATAATCTTTTTTGTTTGTTTGTTTGTTTGTTTTTCAAAACAGGGTTTCTCTGTGTAGCTTTGGAGCCTGTCCTGGAACTCTCTCTGTAGACCAGACTGGCCTCAAACTCACAGAGATCCACCTGCCTCTGCCTCCCAAATGCAGGGATTAAAGGTGTGCACCACCACCGCCCGGCTCATTTTTACAATCTTTTACTGTAATAATCAAAATAAACTCAAAATAAAACAAAAAGCTGTCAGTACCAAAATGGAGTCATTTATATCAAATCCAAGGCAAAAGGCCCATCTGGGCCACACTGCAGGGGCACTTATGTCCATATGCCTAGATTAAGAATTATCCACAGAACTCTGAAGAGGCTGTTTGGTTATACCACAATTGCCCAAGGTGAGCTGCCTCCACCAATGAGTTAACACCAACTAAAGCCCCCTTACCAAAGGCCTGTGTTTCAAAGTGGCTTACATCCAATTTCTCTTTTCTTCTGAAGGCGTCCCCTTACTTCAGCCTCTGCAAATGTGCCTTTAGTCTCTTCCCACCACACATCTATCTCACATTGCCATCCCTTGCTACTTGCAATAAATGTCTTGTTTAGGTGATCCAGTCTCTCCACTGTTGGGATCTAGACCAGACGGCAGCCCAGGCCACAGTACCTGCAGCAGACCCTCGCCTATCACAGACACAGGCAAGCACCCTATTGGAGAGATATGTGGATATCTAGGGATATGTGGGGGAGTGAATTTACAGACCCAGATACATCAACAGACAACAGATAGCCACACACTCTGCTCCCCATCTCTTCCTGATGCCTGAGACTCAGAGTCTGGCTGCAGGCTCTCTGGCTCAGAGACTTCCACTCCTGTCTGGTAGGCCTGATTCTACTTCAGAGCCCCATATTGCTGTCTGTTCCTGGTGCTGAGGCTCAACTTCTCCGAAGAGCTCCCACCATGTTATTGCCAGTTTGCCCACAACATTAATAACTCTTCTAAAAACTTCTTACTCCCCAAAATCCATCTGTGTCCCTCTTTAACCCCAGACCTGAGACTTTTCATCCACCATTCAATTTATAACTCTTATCAATCAGAGATTAATACCATCTTCATCTCTTTCTCAAGTGTTTTCCCCCTACAGTTCTGATGTGTTATGCTGGAATATATTTTTTATTCAGGATTGATCGCGATATATGACCTGAAAATGTTTATTTCTATTTATCACTACTGCGCCCCAATCATGGATGAATCTGTTCTATCAGCACAATGTTGACTCCATGGCAAGTTCTGAATCCTAGGTCTGCCTGAAGGCACCCCCACGCCACTCATCTGCATGCTAAAAATATTGACCATTCTTAGCGTGAATGCAACATGTTACCACTGAGCAGAAGGTGTGCCTCATATTTAGATTGCATCTTCTGTTAGTTAGGAGAAGCAGGTCTCTAGTTATATTCCAGCAAAAGATTCTGGAACCTTCCAAAGCCTTACTCCTCATCACTGTAGTTGGTTCTACAGACTCATAGTCAACAAACAGTCTAAAGAAAATCCTCAGGGTAGTGACAATGATGCTTGGGATGTGGGGTGTGACAATCTGAATGAAGGGACATTAGGACCAAGATAGTCTGTTCAGGGTCACCATGGGAACCAACGCCACCCAAGCAGTACTTCTGAGGATAGTCTTAAAGGATTGTAACTGTCCTACAAAATGATGACCAGAAAGGGATGTGGTAGAAGTAACAAGAGCACATAGGTGAGGTCATGACAACAAAAAGGAGGTGGGATCTACCTCCAGGATCCTCACCTCTGCCCAAGAGTCAGAATTCAACAAACACAAAGCCTTGTGTCTTCTTGACCTGTGAATCACTTCTTCTGAGTTAAATTGCTAATTCTAATGGGGAAATGTCATTAAGGGTGAGATTTGGTATGAAACGACCTCTTACAGTTCTTGCTCTTGCCTTCCAATCACCAAGTTGTGGCTCATGAGGAACAGTTTTTCATCTTCCTACAGCTGGTGCAACTAGTTACCATGAGCTAGGTGTCTTAACACGTCAGGACTTTATGGTCTGAAATCAAGGGCTATGTTCTCTGTAACAGCCCCTTGGACTTACCCTGATCCTTCACTATTTCTAGGTTGGTGGTTAGCCAACTTTGGTACTCCTAGGGTCACAGATGGACCATTCTAATCTCTGCCTCTGTCCTCATGTGGCCATCTTCCCTGTATGTGTTCATACTTTCTTTTCCTCTCTCTCTCTCTCTCTCTCTCTCTCTCTCTCTCTCTCTCTCTCTCTCTCTCTCTTCCCCTCTCCCTCTTCTGTAAGGCCATCAGTCATATTTGATTAGAGTTGTCCTAATGACTAAAGACCCTCTTCATAGAATTTAAGGCTTTCACCCCTGTTTTTTGAGGGGGGCACAATCCAACCAACCTTGTTTACTAGAGTCATTGCATAAACCAATAGCTCCGTGTCCACTCCATCTTTCTCCTCCAGGATTTCCATGATGTTGGACCAGGGTTTGATGCCTATGAGTAAAGTAAAAACCATTAGAAACAGCAATTCAATGACATCCATTATCCCAATCACACTGAAGTTTCACCAAGGAGTTCTCCTGGGATGGCAATGTCTTTCCATCACTGTGTGTGTGTAAGGGTGGACACATCTTTAAGCTGGACTTGTGCCTGTCCTAATAAACCGTATTTCTTAGCAACCAATATACTATCCTGTCTCATGTTCGTTATCGGGATCCATAACTATTTGTCTGAGAAGTCTCCTTTATACTAAATACACAGTTTTAAGTCTGTTCGTGTGCACACTTTTGGGATGCAAACTAAAACCCTTCATAAGTAATCACTGATAGGCCAGCAGCACACACTGAGCAAGGTGTGGAGACCTTGATTTACTCATCAGTTCCAAGCAGTAACAGTGGCATTTCTTCCTAGAACATGTCAAGAGCAAAACAATGCCACCTCTAAGCCATGGGGTACAGATATTGTCTGGGGATCAGCTGGGTACAGAGTCTAGTGGGTAATGTCTCCTGATGGGTTTAGAATCTAGTGAAATAGCTAGACATAGCTACAAACAGAGATACAAGCACAGAGTCAACATCTGAGAAGTGGCAGACATATTTAGCTAAGGCAAGGGAGATATAGTGAGCATGGCTGTGGAAGGCATGGGATTCGAGGTTCCTCCACGTGAGCCCACTACTGAAGGCTCATGAGCTCTTTGCAGCCTCTGTGATAGAGCTGTAAAACACTGTACATTCAAGACCATTAAGTCAAGGGCAAGGCCACGAAGGACAAAGCCATCTTTTGGCATGATCTGAGATGCATATTAGGAGTGATAGAAGCACTGGCTTGCCCTTGGGTGGGTGGGCTGGAATGTGAACCTCTTTTCTGTGTGATTCCTCTATAAAGTATCTCAAATGGATATTACTTATTCTGGCTTGATAAAGTAAATTTGTAAATAACCTAAGCACAGCAGTTTCCGAATGCTGGTCCTTGGATGGCTGGTGACAGAGCTGACCTTGGCCTTGAGATAAACATTTCCCAAAGGCAGAAACAGTATCACTTTTGTTCATCTCTGCATGTTCAGCACAGTGCCTGCCATTTGGCACAGAGTCAGTAAAACATCTGAGAACAGTGATGATTTCTGAGAGGGCACTTAGTCTGTGAAGATGGAACAGCTTTCCAAGAATGAGAAGGCAGATACACACAGTAAGGAAAGAAGACAGAAGGACGGAGGAGCAGCCACCTTCTATAAGACATGACACACACAGGTTAACTCCACAAGCAGACATGACAGCTCTCCCTGTGAGTGAACCTGGTCTCATCCTTTAGCTGAGTTACCCAGTCAGTCAAAACCAAGCAATCTCCTGCCCCTCTTTTTAACTCTGAATGCACAGACATGCTCTCCCTCCCATTACCCACTAAATTGTCTCTGGACATTTATCATCAAACTCCTTGACAGTTAGCACCAGGGTATAGTTGTTCAAATACCAATGAAGTGACCATTTCAGCCTCCAAGGCAGCCAGCCAAGGTGGCCTCACTGTCCCGATGAGTTCAGGAAATACCTGCTTGTGTTTCTAATGGGGCATCAGTCTCAGGGACTAGAGGGCTCCCAGAAGATGCTGGAAGAATTCCTAGGAGCACTGTGCCTGGGAGAAAACACTTCAGTCCGTAGTTTTAATTTTTCTGGGGCTTCTGGACTCAGAACTACTTCCTCATTGTTGATTTTCAATCCAAAGTGCCCTGTGGGGCCTGGGAAAGGAAAAGCCAAGTAATAGAGGTAGGTGTCCCAGAGACAGGGAAAGAGCCAAATCCCTGCCTCACTCTTACAACACACACACACACACACACACACACAACACACACACACACACACACACACACACACACACACTCACTCCATAAATAAGCAAATACATAAATGTAAAAAGAAAAAGATTTAAGTTGGGGATTAAGACAGGTTGGGGGACACATCTATAAGCTGAGATGCAAGTGTTTGTCTTAAGGATTACTGCGAGGTGTCCAGGAGAAAAGGCATTTCTAGTTCCTTTCTCAGCATTGATGGGGTACATTGGAAGACAAGGTTGTCATTACTATCTGTCTCCCTCAAGATCCAATGTCCACCCGCCCTGTACCCTAAACATTGCAACATAGGCTCCATAAGAACCTGGTGCCTCCTGGTGTTTAAAAGCCCACAGTTGACTCAAATATTTGCATAATGACTGAACTCTGTGTGGACACTAACTGGCTTTGTCTGTTGCATCACAGACAGTCAAACATCAGTAGCTGTCATTATCATGGCCGTGGCTATTGGTAACACCAACACTTACAACGCTCACCATCTACAAGGCTCCAGGCCAGTCCTCCCTTGCCACCAAGGCACCGTGCCTCTTTCTTAACTCAAACTAAAGACATACCCACAGACGACATGTTTGAGACATTTCCCATCTTATTCTTCTCCTAATAGGCCCCTGCATTAACTTAATCAGACACTTAACACAATGCCTTGTACATGAGTTGGTCTAATGATCAAAAACATGCTGGAAATTCCTGCCAGCACATTCTGGATCTTTCCACGTAATAGATCTCTGTAGTCTCCACAGAGACTTCTGACAATGAACAGTGAAGTCCAGCTCAAGTGTGTAACCTCTAACCTCCACCATGCTTTGGGTGTTCTTCACCATTCAGGATACCCTCAAGCAGAATCAAAGACAAGATTGCTTGAATGGATAATTAGATTTTATTCTATGATAACCATGTGTGATATGCATGTCCAGGAATTAAGTCATATCTCATCACTTTACATTCAAATTTGAAAAATATAACTTCAAAAGCTATTCTGGACCAAATTAATAGGACCCAAGATTTATGACAAAATGAGTAGCCCTTTCTGTTTCCCGAGCTCACCCTCTGTGGGAGAGGCTAACTACATGTCAGAGGGACCATTGCTCTGCCTAGCTTCAAGACAACCCACCACAGGGCAAATCTTAAGAAAAGAGAGTCTGACAAGGCAAAATGACAAATCAGTGATCTCCTTAAAGCTTCCATGAGTTACTGTCCTTCTCTCTTTCTGTCAGGCTGCATCTACCCCCAGAGAAAAAAAGTGACATAACGATATAAGCAAGAGAGAGAGAGCTGGGGATGACTCTGATGGTATAAAGCACTTGGCGTACAAGCACGAGGTCCTGAGTTTGAGTCCCAGAAGCCACATAACACATCTAGCTGTAGTGGTGTGTGACTATAATCCCCATGCTAGGGAGGCAGAGCCAAACAGATCCCCAGGGCTCTCTGGCCAGTCAGTCTAGACAGATCAGTGATCTCGCTTCTGGTTCAGCCAGAGACCCTGGAGAAAAGTAACCCAGAGAGCGATTAAAGAAGGCATCCTAAGTCAACCTCTGCACATCCCCCCCCCCCCCGCAACACACACACACACATACACACACACACACACACACACACACACACACATACACACTAGAAGAGTGAAGATGATCTAGAGGATCTGAGGAGACAGTTGTGATTCCACGACACTTTCAGGGCCTAATCAAACTCACTTTTTTATGCTAGCCCCAAAGCAAAGTATAGCAGGCTAGGCCAAATGAGGCATTTAAAATGTTCACATATTCATATCCGTAAATGTTAATTACTACCTATGAGGTACGTTTTTGGTTTGTCTGTTTTGAGGTAATGAGGACTGAATGCAGGGCAGGCCTCATGCATATTAGAGAGGCACTCTGCCACTGAGCTACACTACCAGGCTCCTTTGACGGACTTTCTTCCTAGGCTCTCTAAGTGGCCCACTCTACGCCCATGCCACACTTCTGGTTAACTCACAGGTGGCCATGCATGATGTTTATAAAGCCACCAAGGAAATCTGTTCTGGGATGACTTCAACTGCTTTAGGTGGTAAGGACTTTTTGAGGGCTTTTAGTTTATTTTGTTAGTTTTATTTGCTGGGTCCTCAACTCTAAGAGTTTTCCTGTCTAATAAAAAAAATGGAAAGATGACTGTCCCCACTTTCCCATGCCAATCACTCCTGCCAAGGAATGAGTCTGGAGCCTCTCCGTGGAGCAGAATTTATGAGCTATTTGCACGTGTGCCCACGTGGACATGCTCAGCTTTCCTTCAGTCATCTCTGGCACGTAAAGACCTGGAGACTGCTCTAAAACCTGTTGCTGGAAACACCTGGAATTTGTGTTGCTCTCTGCAGAACTCCATGACATATTTGTATGCCTAATTCCATCACAGAATCCTAGGGCAACTTTATTACCAGTAAACCAGGATGACGCTATATGTATGCATTCCAGAATCACAGCCAAGACCACACATAGCCATGAAGAAACGCGCTCATGAGCCACACATGATGAGCTTTCTCTGGGTTTTTTCATTAGTGATGTTCCTTTGTTTGCAGCTCTTCGTGTTTAGTGGCAGGCACATTACGGCAGTTGCCAAAGGTTGAAGAAATTTTATAGGCAAAATCTACCAAGCTGAGAAAACAATCTATGGGATTTTTTTTTAACTAATTGAGAAAAGATGGCCATCATTTTGTCTGGTTGGAGAGACTTAGGATAGTAGAGGCCCCAGGCTGAGACTGTGGAATGAAGCTTGATGTGGGAAACAAAGCCCTAGGTTCATCTGAGGGTCATTCCCTCTCCACAACATGTCCTTTATGCAGCGGGAACTCCAAAGAAAGATGCTAGAAGATGCTATTCAACAAGGCCAATGGAGAACCTCAAAGCTATGAAAAGGATGTCCCTATATCATGGTCCAACAGCAAGTGTCCTTGAGATACCCAAAGTTTAAGAGAGGTTAACAAAACATGCATCTGTACTCCTAAAATAACTCCATAGCTGGAGATGGAACACATATCCTACAAGGAGAAATCAGGGGAACCACCATTTTCCCAAATACCCACCAGGCTTTCGGGAAGTCAGACATCGTTTCTTAGGATGTCTGGCTCTCATAATTCAGGACTGTTAGCTGGCCCTATCATCTGTTCTTACTCTAAGACATCTCCTGTCTGGTACCAGATGGCACCATGTTGTGTAGAAGTGGGCAAGTGGCTATGGTCTGAGACCTGCCTTCCAGGCTCTGACCTTGCCTGAGGCTCTCCCATCTTTCCACACTCCCTCAGAGAGGCCAAGAGTTGCTTCTAGGCTGGACTGGCCATGCCAGGGCTGGCATCTGCCTGTGTGTTCAGAGCAAAGGTGTAGGTACCCGGTTCATAGTCCTGGCGGGCATTTGTTAACTCAGACCTTCAAAGAAATGAGGAAGCTACTATCTTTCCCATTTTGAATGGGCATCAGAAAGGAGTAGTGAGCCAGGTTGAGTCAGACATATCTAGTTTGAATAAAGAGTATAATCTAGGCTGCTAATCTTCCCAACAAAGCACAGAGGCTGCTTTGTCTGTAAGTGTCCAGGACTTGGATGGGAATACATCAACATGTTAGCACACCTGCCTGTTGATAGCAAAAGTGATTTGGGATCATTTGTGGACTGGGTTTTCCAGGTTTTTTAAGTGAAGTATTACTATTACAATCATAAAGAGAAAAAAATATTATTCAGATTTTCCTCTTACTTATCTGAGTCTTTGTGGGGATGGTGGTAAGAACAATCAGGTCCTCTCAGAGGAAAATGAGCAAGAGATGCCACAGGCATCCTAACATTTCAGCTAAAGACTTCACATCACTGTGGACCACAGCATGGTTCACACGATCCAGCTACAGTTCCTACTTCTCTTTTTTTCTTCTCAAGTCAGGGTCTTGACTTTCTAGGTAGCCTAGGCTAACTTTGAACTCATGATCCTCCTGCTTCAGCCTCCTTGGTGCTGAGATCACATGTGGCACATGACACGCCACTCTTTTCTACCTGTGTATAGCATGCCTGTCTGCTCAGGACAGCTGAGTGCTGGAACAGTATACAGGGAGATAGAGACCCTACCCCTGAGCTGGACATACTCAGGTCAACGGACAGGCAGCAATGACAGTCTAGCAGAGAGAAAGGTTGTTTGGAGCTTCGGGAGCACAGGAGGCAGGGAGGGGTGTTCCGGGCCAGGAAAGAGATGGCAAGGCAGGCAGTCCCTTACTCAGAAAGGCTCCGATGGCTTTCATGCTGTAGGCACTGGCAGGGCTAAATGGAATGATAAGGAATTTTCACTGTTCTTCAGGGTGGTGTATTGTGGGAGCCCACAGAGGTTTCCTAGTGAGATCTGAGCTTGCTTTACCCAGAAGGGCTGCATAAGGGGATGGATTGATCACGTGCGTGGTTACCAGGTGATTGGAAAAGTTCTGCACTTGGTTGTGCTGGGGGGGGAGTTCTTTTGCTCCACCCCTTGGCATTCCTTTAAAAGGCCCTTTAGAAGAGACAGAAGGGGCCAGTGAATTAGGATCCAGGCTCCCCACCCCAGGCGCTCTCTCTCTCTCTCTCTCTCTCTCTCTCTCTCTCTCTCTCTCTCTCTCTCTCTCTCTCCTCAAGAGTACCCTGGGGGAAAAGGTGGGGGCGGGTTGCCCACAGTGTGCGACAACAGGTCAGAAATGCTGCGGCCCCTGAGTAAGACACAGCACAGGATGGAGGGAAGGAGGGCAGAAGGCTCAAGGGGCATCCATGGGCCAGTGTTCTAGAGGACAAGGAAGAGAAGGAAGGACACAAGGTGACCTGAACCGGCTCAGGAGCACAGGTGCTCTGTGCGGTCTCAGTGATGGGGGCAAAAGGCAATGGTCTGCCATGTGCTGGCTAGGTCACATGTGCGTTTTCCTCATTATCGCATCACCTTCCAACCCTAATCTCCATAGTTACCACTCTGGGTCCTTCATGGAGATGTCCACACACGGAATGCTCCCAATAACTCACTAGAAGATGGGAAGCCTCCCTATATAAGACACCATGACCTCGATGGCCCCAGGGCAGGGACTGCTCACCTCTTTTGGTGTCAACAGCAGAAACAGCCTGAATGAGGAGGGGTGCATTGGACTCAGAGTACTCCACGAAGACGAGCAGAAGTTTCAGGGCTGTCTTCACCACCAGGCGGAACTGGAGAAAAGATAAAACCATCACACAGAAGCAGAGGCCACCCTGCCCACCTGAACACATTCTCCCCTCCACCTACAGCCAGCACTCAGCCATAAGTCACCCTGGAGCTCCTCAGAGATCACCCAGATTCCTTCACTAGTGCCTCACTCACCCCTCATTAGATACCTCAGCAGACAGGTATTAGTGTCCCTCAGATTAGGAAACTGAGGCAGAGCACACTGTTCATGATCACACAGCTAGTGATCAATGGAAGCAGAAATTCAAATCCAGAGCATTTGACCCCAGAATTCACATCCAGCTTCCAACAAGGAAGACAGTGAATGCTGAATTGGGGACTTCATTTGATCCCAATGACGATAGTCATGGTTTTTATTTTTCCAGTAAGGAAGAAGGCAGAGCAGGTCAAACTACTTGTTCTAGGCCACAAGTGCCAACTTGAGTAAAATGGAACCTGAGCCAAGTCCCCAACACTTAAACACAAGCATACCAGGCTGCCTGGGGCCTTGGAACTCACAGACCCTGGATCCATGGCTCAGCATTTGTGAGGAGTTGCAACCAGCTCAGAACCTTCCTTTCCCACTGTCGAACTCACCGTTGGAGAGACCACGAGCAACTCACTCAACGGAAGCTGCCATGGCTTCCTGACTCCAGCCCCTTCAGTCCTGAGGGATTCTGGGTCATTTCCCACCTCCCAGTTGCTCCTCCCTCTCCCCCTCAAAACCTCCCTTCTCTTTATCCCACTTCCTTCCAAGAATCTCTCCCTCGACAGCCATACACATACCTCCTGAAAACTTCAAATGATGCACCTCAGAACACCAAGCCAACCTTGGGCTGTCCAGCCTTTCCCAAGCTGTTTGCTGCCATTTTTAACCCCACAAGACTCTTCTAAATGGAGAGGCCAAGAACTACATTTGACTCAGAGTGGGCTTAGGGGTGTCTGCTAATGCATCGATCTATCAGTCAATGGCCAGGTCAAACAATCTGTACCATTTCACCCTCCCATATTGTGGAAAATCAGCTCCTGCTTCTTCATTTGCTCTGCACCAAGAGGGAGACCCAGGGACCCCAGGAGGCATGTGCTCACATCACAGTGACAGAGGACAGACTTGACGGAAAAGGGAGGAGACCCCAAGCAGGCAACTGCACTGTACAGCTCAAAGGTGTGATGGTCAATCATTGTCACCTTGATTTAGACTCACCTAGGAGACTAGGGAAAGCTTCTGGGTGTGTCTGTGAGGGAGTTGAAAAGAGAATTACCTTGTGGGGAAAGGACCCACCCTCAGTGTGGATAACACCATCCCATGGGGACTTGGGGGGAAGAAAAGATGGGAAAAGGAGAAAGCAAACTGAGTGTTAGCATTCCCTCTCTTCTTCCTGATCCAAGAAACTGTCTCTTGCCTTACTTTGGATTGTATCTTCTTAAGTCAGGGGTCAAAAATCAATCCTCCTTCCCCCAAATTGTACCTGTTGGGTATTTACTTTGTCACAGCAACAAGAAAAACTAGTAGAAGAGGGGACAGTTTAAAATCCCACCAGCCCCAAGTCCTTTCTCCAAGGCCTTTCCACGCCTCTGTCCCCAGGCTCTTTCTCTGCTGTGACACCTACCAGGTAAGTACCTGTCTGTCCCTGGTCCCACTCTCTCTACCGGGTGACTGCTTTCTTGCTCCCCTTGACACACACAAAAAAAATAAAAAATAAAACCAAAAACCACAAATAAACAAACAAACAAACACAAACCTTTCCTAAGAGTTCCTACAGCCCATGGCTCCAATTCCCAGTAATTCCCTGTGGTCAGCTTCACAGGACTTGGAATCCCTGCTGAAACAAATTTCTGGGCATGTCTGTGAGGGATTTTCTAGACTGGGTTAAGGGAGGTGGAAAGAGTCTCTAAGTATAGGCTCACCATTCCATGAGCTGGGATCCCAGACTCAACAAAAAGCATAAAGTGAGCTGAGTGCATTCATCTCCCTCTGCTTCCTGGCTGGAGATGCCATGTGACCAGTCACCTGAAGCTTCTACCTCCATCCCTGCCGTGATGGACCATATCGTAAAAATATGAGCCCAAACAAACCATTCCTTCCTAAGTTCATTTTATCTGAGTATTTTGTTCCACCAACTAGAAAAGCAGTTAAGGCCCTCCACAGTCAAGCGAAGGTCAAGAAGCCCCCAGGCTCCCCATCCTCTTTGTGTTCCCACCACACAGGGAACTGAGTACTTTGGGGGGCTCCAAACACTTTAAGGGGTTCCTACCCCCTAACTCAGGTCCCACTATCTCTCTGTTCCTTCCTGTCTAGGAAGAAGCTAAATTCCACAGTATTTTCTCAACAAGTACAAGGCTTTTTTTTGGGGGGGGGGGGGTATTAGGCCAGAAGAATGAGCTGTGCTTTGTATGTTTAAAGCTGGAGAAATGTCTTCAAATAAACACAAACCCAGCAAGTCCAGGCTTGGTGGCTTCCCCCGGAGGTAGAACATCATTTTGTGGTTCCTGGAGAGAACCTGGCGGCCGCACAGTGCACTCCTGTGAGGCTGGTCTCAGCAGGGCCGACTCTGCCAGTCCCATAGAGCCCTTCTGAGCACCTGTGTGGTTATGGGACTTGACTTCCATGATCCCTGGCACCCAGAATCCCTAAACCATGGCTGCTTCTGCTGGAGAGCTGCTTTGCTATGGACGTCTTCCTTCTCATGTCTCCCTCTCCTGTGCTGGAAGGCTCTGTTGAGAGTTTTTTGGGCACCGTAATTTTATTTTTAAAAAATTCTTTAACATCAATTCTATATTTAGGGGTTCTGTGACTAGCTTCTACTTCGTTTATGTTTGGTGCTTTCAGAAGCTTTACTATGCCAATGAATAACAAGCACATTAGATAATTAAAGTGCTTTAGAGGCAAGAGCATCGGAACATCAATTTGGGGCAAATTCCTGATACTAATTGAAAGCATGTCGCAACTCATCTTCAGATGCATCCGGGGCTCCTACTCAGAAATTCCACATCAGCAGTGTTGGGAAGACTTGAAAGTAGGGAGGGGACATTACTTCTAAATAATGCTGTACTATCCTTCACTTACCCAATAGTTACTCTCTTTGATGCCCTTCTGTATGGGAAATACAGCCACCACAGCCCTCTAAAGTGTGAAGCAGCCAGCACAGGGACCATATATCCTGACCTCAAAGTCCAGCACATTGCCTTTGCCAAAGTTCTTTCTTAAAAAAATAATTTATTTAACTTTATTTTATGTGCATTGGTATGAAGGTGTCAGATCCCCTGGAACTGGAGTTACAGACAGTTGTAAGCTGCCATGTGGGTGCTAGGAATTGAACCCAGGTCCTCCAGAAGAGCAGCCAGGGCTCTTAACTGCTAAGCCATCTTCTCCAGGCCCCAAAGTTCTTAAAAAATCTTTTCTTGGTGCCAAAGAGCTAGCTCAGCAGAAAAGTGCTTTTGTAGAATGTACAAGGCCTTTGGTCTGATTCCCAAATTCACAAAATCCAAATGCATCTTAGACATATTCACACATTTGCGTAGGAACTGCTGTTAAGAGTCCCAGCCCACATCTACTGGGAAGAGGCAAAAAAGGGAGGCAGTGGTAGAGCAGGGGTGGCAGGCTTACAGTAGCTTGTAGTGGGTAGTTGTTCCAGCTTTGCCCTGGAAGTACTACCCCCATGGAGGCTTCTGGCAACTTTCACACCTACGAGGTGGGGCCCAGAGAGGAGCCCTTAAGACCCAAGATCTAGAGATGCCGGCTCTCTTGATTCCCTGACCAGGAAACCAAGTAGGAAGGAGCATCCCAAAAGAGGAGGTGGGAGAGTAAGCCGCAGGAATGTCAGGGCATACACCCTGCATGGCTCAGACACGCCATACCCTCAAAGCATCATTCTAACCTCAAATGTCCAATCTTTAGCTCCGACTGAGGCTCCTCCCTATCCTACCACGAACGGTTTCACTGCAATGCGTCAAGCCCCTGGCAACCTGTCTGGCCATGAGAGAAAAGTCAGGAAGAGCTGATCCAGTTCTCATGAAGCATGTGACACCATGGGATGGTCCAACAGTCATGAAGCAGACAGGCGGCATGGCAGTAAGGAGTCAGCCTCAGTGGTTCCAAACCAAAGGGGCTGAAGGGGAGGAGCACATCCCTGCAGGAGGTAAAGCTGGGTGGGCTAGACTGGCTGGCCGTGTTTGAGTCCCTTCCAATCCACACGCCTTTGCTTCCACTTCCAACAGTGTCAGGAGCCCCTTTGGATGCCCAGTACCCTTTGAGACTCTGAGGGTATAACACAGCCCTGGCCGTGCTTCAAGGACATGGCCCATCAGCTACTTAGAGAGGACTCATACCACCCTTCCCCACGCAGAGAGCGTCACCCACGTGAGGGGCACCGAGCATCCTCAGGGCAGTTCTAGCACTGTAGTGGCAGTCAGAGAAGCTCAGAGCTGGGAGCTGCTAGCCCAGCTCTTGTCTTCAGTGGAACAGGAGAGCTCTGGGATGGCAGGAAGGCCCCTGCCACATCAATACCACCACAGGCTCTAGGTTCTGCCTTTGGGCTCTGTTACCTATGTTTGATTTACAGTCTAAGAAGTACAAGTATTCTATCTGAATCTTGTCCACTGTAACAAAGAAAATTATGAGGGTTTTTTGTTGTTGTTGAATGGTAAATATAAGGGCCTCAGTTCGGTGTAGAGGTGAGGACCAGTGTTGAACCTCCAACCCTCCTGCCCCCATCGACTGGGGTTATAGGTGTATACCACCACACTTGGGTCTTTTTATAATATGTTTTTTTGAAATTAATGTATAACTAAATTTTTCTCTCTCTTCCTTTTCCTCCCTCCAACCCCTCCCATGTGCCCCCTTGCTCTTTTTCAAATTCATTTTACTTTAATTGTTGTTACATTGTGTTTGTGTGTATATATGCATGTGTGTGCATTTCTAATATATAAACACAACCTGATCTGTCCATGTAATGTTATTTGTATGGAAATGATTTCAGGGCTGACCACTTGGTACTGGATTACC